TCGAATATTGTATTAAAATCAGAAAGAGTGAGACAGACAGAGAGAGAGAGAGACAGAGAGAGAAAGAGAAATAAATGAAAAAAAGAAAAATCAAAAGAAACAGCAAAATACGTAGAAGAAGCAACCAATTGTCTATAACAGGCATCGAGATGAAGATGTGCACAGAAAACTGACGAACGTTCTATTGAGTGCACTTAGAAAGTAAATGTAAACAAATCAATGAAAGCAATTGCAAAGTAATTCAAGTTATTTACCCAGAGAATGGAGGACGAAGCGTACCTTAACGTAAAACGTTATATAGTAGCGAAAATTAAACAGAAGTATAGTGTAGTCGAGAGAGGTATAGAATATATATATATGCATATTCACACGCATATATATATATATACTTATCCATATATACATACACATACACATATAATACATATAAACATGTATATATATATATATATATATATATATAGATATTTAACCGGCATAAAACCGCTTGAATTTTCACAAGCTGTGCGCTCAAGCACACTGATTGATATTCTTTGAAGATGGGTGACGACTAACAGTCACAATTATTCAACGTGCTCTCCTAAAAACTTTTAAAACACGAACACATGCATTCAACGCAAACAGAAACTAAAACGTATACGGCACACATCGCTAGTATCGTTCGTTCATCAATCCATTCATCCATTCATCCATCCATTCAGTTTCTATCTACGCTGTGACATTTAAGACAATAGATGGCAGGCGAACAGGCAGAGACAAGCAGTAAGCAAATCACATCGAGACAAATAATAAAACCAATTGTAAAACCAAGTCATACTGACAATTTGTTAGAAAAGATTGTAACTCAGAGGGCTGCCGCATTACAAGAAGCGAGAAAGCAAATACATTTCAATCAATTAAGAAGACAAAAAAAATATATATATATAAGAAAAAAAAAAAAAAAATTGCATATACCTTTTCTAAATACATATTCTTTTCTTGCTCTCTTCCTTTTCTTCGTCTTCTTCTTGTTCTTGTTACCAGTTGCCTTTGTTTAACCGCAAAGCCTGATACCAAAACAAGGACGAGTGTAAAGAACTGAAATTAACATAAGAAATTGCTTTATCTCATTCTTCTTCGAAATCGCTTTTCAAGCTATTACCGCTTCTTAAGTTAATCAAGCAGAGCATATATCATAAGTTTCGTAACCGTATAACACTGTTTTCTCTTTTCATTTTTAAATTCAAAATTAAATGCCCAAGACAGACGTATGCGTGAACGAGGCCAACTTGTATCTGACATTTTTACAAGAATTTCAATAAATAATTTTCAAAAAAATAATCTCTCTCTCTCTCTCTCTCTCTCTCTCTCTCTCTATCTCTCTCTCTCTCTCTCTCTCTTTCTCTTCCTCTTCCGTTTTCCCTTTGCAGAATGTTGCCTAAACGACAAGATGTCACCAGATATTACTGAAGATTGGAAAATAGTAAGATCTGAAGGGCAACAGTTTTGTTGTAGATATGATGGGATCAGCAAGGTGTAGTGTTCCTAATCGAATGAAACTATCCACCGATGTCAGTTGGACAAACTGAACAATGTATTGTTCCAAAAAAGACCAGCAGTAGCGGTTAAAAGACCCAAAATCATGCTTTTGCATGACAACGCTCGGCCGCGCGATGCAAGGGTTGTCAAGTAAGTGTATCCTTGCACCTCGAATGGAGCATTCATACATAGCGCCTTGTGATTACCACTTGTTCGGAAGAACGCTCCTGAAGAGGTGATGAAATATATAGATGATTGGATCGCTGAAAAATCAATATCGCTCCTTCGCCCTATGGCCAGAAAGTTGGGCAAAAATTGCACGAATTGAACGAAGGTATTTTCATTAGCATAGTGAGTGAGTCTCACTAGTATTGGGTGTTTTTCACATAAGGAAGGATGCGAAGAAAAAAAGTCACCTATTATTCAAAATTAATGTTTTCTGGGATAAGCCTTTTACTTATTAACGTTATTTGAACTTCCCATTAGGTCCTTTAACCATGATTTAAGACGAGCGTAGCAATGGTCATGTTATAGTTTTGGTATGCATTGAAGGCAATGGGATCGGAAAATTGGTGTTTATGGTTGGCATTCTAAACGAGGGGAACTATTTAAGGATATTGAAGGAAGATTGGAAGGAAAGTGCGGTCCGACTTTGTATTTCAGAAACATTCAAATTCTACCGAGATAACGGCCCCAAGCATAAGACCCGCTTAATTGAAAAATTGCTCTTAGTGCTTCACCCAGGCATGAATCCCATCACAAATAAGTGAAATGCATTAGACCGCCGCATCCAAAAAAACAGTCAAAATATGAAAAATAAACCACAAGAAGAATGGATAGATAAGATAGCTGCAAGAGCTGGCAAAAGAAAAATTATACCGAATATGTGACAATGTTTCCTACCCTTTAATTTTCTTGGCCAACCGCTACTATGAATTAATTTGCTTCATAAAATATTGAAACTTGAACTTTTTTCCGAAGGAATTACTTCGCATGAGAAATCTTATACGGGGTGGGATTCAAGAAATGGACCCGTGCAGTTCAAATTCAGTTCACTTATTTGTTACGTCAGACTACGTTATGAACAAATTTTCATAATCGAATATTAACAATCAGACCTTTTGGGCGTACAAGAATTTACATTTTCTGAGAATCCTTACATACGAATAAATCCAGGAAATAGACCTACGTGATCCAATTTCGGTAGGGTAGACTTCTTTATCAATTTTGATCATCCAATATTGAAAATTACACATTTCCACTATATAAGAAAGAGAGAGCGCCAAAAAAAAAAATGGTTCCAGCTGAATCAAGTTTTTCATACCATTTTAGAATATCGAAATACTACTGCTACTTAGCGACGTTTGTCGGGAAATTTTGAAAATTGCAATTTTCTTCCATACACCGACCGATCTTTCAGAATAAGGCGTTATACAGGGAATGGTTTAATGAGTGGACCAAAAACACGCAAGTGTACTAAATTTCATTAAAATATTTTGCAAATTTTCATCTGGGGATTGAGCACAAAAATACATGGATAGGTTATAGAGGGACAGACAAGCTTCGATCAATTCAGAAAGTGATTCTAAAAATATTCTAAATCGGTCTATAAAATGGCGGTCCGTCTTAAATCATTTTGAGTTTTATGTAAGTCAGCACAAGCTTAATATACCCTCTACCACAAGTGGTGTAGGGTATAAAAATAAAAAAAAAATAAAAAAAAAAATTTAAATTGTTTTACATGCTACTAACGCATATGACGTTAAAACTTTTTGAATATGTCGTAATCGTTTCTTTGTTTTAAATTTCTCTGCGGTTCATGATCAATTGAAAGAACAATTTTTTCACACAATCAAGTTATTTCATGAACACTCAACTAATCGCTTTAAAAATTATATTATATATTAGAAATTTTTGTTGTTGTTGATGTTGCTTTAATTTGTTGTTTGCCTTAATTTGATTTTTTTTTTTTTTTTTTTTGTTATATTTTCCTAAGGTTGTAAAATTTACATATTACAAGTGCGACCATATTTAGCATAAAAATGCGATGCGACACAAAGTCCAAGGACAAAAAACAATGCAAATTTCAAAGAGAGACTTTTCTTGTAAATTTTTAACAATTTTCGATGTTAATGGAAACATAGCGACACATTGTGTGACAATTCCTTTACAGTTACTCGAAAATAAATTAATTTTTGAAAAGCAGCTTTTAATAAATGTGTGTCGCCCAGTTTCAAAAGCATTCTTTTCATAGTACATTGTCTAAAACGTAGCGCAGTAATGGGATGAAACGAACATTGAATTTAAAAAATTCACAATTTGTATGGATGTGCATGTGAAACAATAAGAGAGAAAATGTTAATTTATCAAAAACAAACATTTTGACTTGGCAGCCTCAAGACAAACACCGAAATCGTTTTTGATGCTTTTTACATATGACTCTTGGCTAATATTGCCGAGCTTTTCGATTTTGCCATCAAAGACAATGCAGCGATTTATTCATTGGGAATATTCGCATGGAAAAAAAAAAATCGTTTGCAGAAAGTATGTAACTGAAACTATTATATAAATTAGTTGCATTCCATCATTCCTCTCCTGTCTGGTTTGTGTCCACAATCATATACGTGTGCATATGTAATGAAGAATGAAATTTGTAGCAATGTTTTCTCAAAAATAAGAAAGGTTTGCATCTTGGATACTTGCCATCTACCTATTTACAAATATGTTTTATAAGTAAATATATATGTAAGAGCATATTCGGTTTCCAATCGGTTCGACGGGTTTCAGTAAAAATAGATGTACATTATCTCGAACCATCTAGCAAGGTGAACGTGTCCCAGGAGAAAATCATTGAAATCACAAACTTGTCACGGTTGACGGGCGCAGTAAATCCATTGTCAGTGGACTAAAGTCTTAATTTAATTAATTATTGAAGCTATGGCTTAATAAAATCGTAGCACTTCTTTTATTATTTTTGGATGCTATACGAACACAATCATAAATTTTTTTTTATGGAGATGGATTCTCTGTAATGGTGTAATCATGAAATCTAAACCTGAAAGAACCAGATAAGCCTGAAAGGCTTAATATTGTGCACAAATTGGTTTAATCGCCGGCAGTAAGGCTTGTTGTACTTACACTCCAAGCAGCTATTATTTACCAAAATCGTAGCATATTTTTTTGCTATTGAAATGTCTTTATTTCTATCATCTTTTATCGTATATTATTTATTTGTCCGTCCACACACATTCATTCATTCATAAGTGAACGATATTTAATTGATATCAATCAATCGAGATATGAATGTAGAGTGCAAAAAAACAAAAAAAAAAAAAAAAAATTTTTTTTTCCATTTTATATATAAATCATAGAAATTTCATAAGAAAGAAATCTTAATTGATTTATGCAGTAATTAATGAATTAAAGATTTGTTGTAACTTCATTTTTTAATTAAAAGAAAAGAATAAAGAAAAGCAAAGAAAAATGTACTTAAAATGTATTAAAATTGTGTAGCAATATATCGTAACCTAAACTATTTCGTATAATGTTTATATAAGATTTGAAGAGTATATCAATCAATTAATGTTAGTATTAATAATAACATTTTGTATGCAAAGATTGTTGTGTTAATTCTACTTAATTAAAATACATTACGAAGGTCTTTTTGGTCCGTTTTGTATCGTTATTATTATTTTTATTTTTATTATCGATACTTTCTTAATAGCGATTTTAAGAGAGGTCATCTTTACCGAAATGCGTAATTATTCCATATAGACTTTCGAATGAGCCGACGGCAAAGCCTAGCACTGCCAACACTAATATTAAGAAATTTTTGATATATGAGATGACATGCGGATATTTTCCTTCGCGTTGCGTTAGCATATCAATAACAGGCGGAAATACCAAAGCTAGTGCGGTTGAACAGAGAGCACCAATCAATGAGATAAACAGTCCTAAAGCGGGTACCAATAAAGCGATGCTCACTGCAAAAGAAAACGAACAGAAAACAAGTAAAACCATTAATATACGATCATAGCGCATCATTAAATACCCTATATCACTCTACAGTTATTCAGATGACAGCTTTTCAAAATAAAACGTTACGCGGGAAGTGTTCGTAAAAGTGGTCCGATCCTCAATCATCCTCAATGGCTTTCTATCATCCCCTGGCTAAAGCATGTCGGTATAATAAAATTTCATTGAACTATCTCAAATATCACGATCTGTTGGTTAAATATAGGACTATAAGACGGACAGACGGACAGGCAGACAAGTTAAGATCGATTTAGAATCACTTTCTTGCATTATAGTAAACACATATATAATATGTATGTATGGGGAACTATCTCAACTCTTTGTGAGTGTTTAATACATACACACAAATTTAATATACGTCTTTATATATCCCTATAGATAAGCCAATTACTTAGGTGGTAAGGATCAAAATATTTCAATCGAAGCTAGCTCCTCAGCACGAAAAATAACAATAGGCCCGCAGAGAAATCAAAAAGGATGCACACTTATGTGATGCGGGCGATCGGGTAGAGAGCACATTAATCACTTACTACTAATTCAATATGTGGAAACACTCAACATTTTGGAGTTTCCTTTTTCCACCCTTTGGCAATCGAACCGAGTTCGAACCGAATCGAATCGAGTTTAGAACTGCAAACATTTCCTTGATACTGAAAATTTTTATGGCATTCGGCTTATCATTCAATTGCATCGAATAAGAGTTTAGCACCACAATCTTTCGAATTTAGCCGATAAAGCGAAGGCGTCTTTTTTTGACACAGAGAACTATACCGTTTTCCAAGCCGCTACAATAATTCATACATTTGCGTATGTACACCTTAAAGACAACAGTTTCAAATCAAAGGTGTCACTCAAGTTTGTTCAGTACCCCACACTCCTGCTTACTCTCTCTCTCTCTCTCTCTCTCTCTCCTGGAAAGCGGACTGAAACGACTTGTACTCCCATTTATTTATTTTCCATCTTTTACCTCATTTTATATAATAAATAATTAGTAATCCGAAAGATCGTACAACCGAATGCTTTAGACCTCATCAACAAAAAAAAAAAAAATAAATAAATTTAAGCAATAAATTTTAAGTTTTACTTACGGGTCACAATTGACATTAGAGTACGAAAACCTAAATTGATTAATAACGGGCTATGTATAAAACGACTCATCGCATGCGTCACAGATGGCAACATTATTTGAATAGCGATATGAAATTGTAGGCAGTAACCAAACAGCACTCCCAACGATACCATAACCTGGACACTTATACCGCCCCTGTAATTAAAGTACACATATTAAACTTAACTTTTATAAAAATACATGCGAATGTATATGTGTGTGTGGGTGTGTGGGTGGGTGTGTATGTATGTGTGTAAATTCCATAAATGGTAGCATTGCTAAGAAAATTTCATCTTGTCAAGGGATGGATATCTGATTATATGATGACTTGTCTGTCTATAGAAACGTATTTGTTTGTAACCATCGCACGAACATTAAAAAAGTACGAGTCTATTTTTCTATACTTTCAAGTGTCCCGTTCAATTTGCAACGACTCACGATTCCTGAACGTTTCAGTAGAGTGACAGCTCAAACTCAGTTGCGGTTACTCATCGTTTATCCTTTAGAGAAAATGGTCGCTATTATCCTTTCCCTTGTCAGGCCGAAGCGATCCTGTGATCGCCAACGTCTTTCGATCTTTTTCTTTTCGAGGCTGCATTAAAGTCCAGGTCTGCGCTGCCAAGTTACAATCTCTGAAACATTTGAAGATCATCATACCTCAGACTATCGCAGGTGTAACACAATTAATGTCGAACAGTCGGAGCAAGCTATCGTCTGCGGTGTACATATGCATGATATTCTGTTTAGAACATCATTGCAAAGTCTAAGCTTCAAAATTGTACTTCTCCTGAGGAGTATAGCTTTTCATGAAAAAACCCTTTTGTGATATACTCTCGACCATAATATCGATCTCGAAATTATGTTTTATTTATTTCCTTCTTATATGAAAATCTTTTTATCCTATGAACTTACCAAGTTTTTCCTAGATTTAAGCTTAAGCTTGCGGCAACTTGTTCACCCCATTTAGTATAACCAACGAATCCCGCCGATGTGAACATCGTGGTTACCTTCAAAAGACAGAATTTAAAGAAATTTTATTTGAAAAAAATTAGTAAACCATTTTCGTCCAAGTGCCTTCTTTCCTCTTTCCCCTTATCTCTTCCTTCCTGATATTCATTAACGATCATGTTTGTATAACAGAAAATCCTACCTATCCATTTGCCCTATGTCATTTGTTTTCCTTCAATAAAAGAAGCGCATACAGCAAAGCGACACAAAACAAACGTTGATGCGCGATGAATGACACATGTAGTCGGGACTACAAAAAAACTTAATGTTTGAATGCGGCCAGGATAATAGGGTAAGCTTTAACGCCACCAAAACTCAAATTTGCCTCGTAAGGCGCAGCCATTCTCTTTTGATGGCGTCAGTGTGGAAGATTCGCAAACCTTGATATTCTGCTTATGCGAATACAAAACGATATCCATTGGACAGAATATGTGTTCATGGTATAGAAAGACGCTGCCAAGTGCTTAGACAAAAAATACTTTATTGCACCTAATATTCGTACCATTTACGTCACCTATACGCGGCCAAAATTAGATTATAACTCTAGTATATATGGGTGGGAGCATCCAAACTTTGTTTCGAATCCTTCAACCTTGCTTACAGTTAAACGCCGACGTGCTCATGGGCGACGGCACCCTTTTACATCCGCGTAATGCGGGCGTTGTTGTGCTTATGTATAGGTAAACAGGGCTTTCTCAGCGTTCCCGTCCACTCGTGGTGAAGCTACCTGCACACTGCACGACACACTACCGCGACATGTTCTTTTTTCACTGTCAGTGATCTTTCTGACCTTACTTAATGTGTCAATTTCCACTACTCCTTCACTCCACGCTCGTCTTACTAAAACCCTTTCTGATCACCACCGTGCCCACAGGTAAAGAAGAAAGTAACGACTGAATGACTGTCCATAAAAAAGAAAAAAACGCCAATAGATAAACAAGTTACATTCATGTACTCTTTGACCCCAAATGTTATACTTCTCTGAAGGAACGTTAGACGAACTCTTGCGTAAGATCGCAAGCGGATAGATAGATTTTTCTAAAGTTATTTGTAAAATTATTTCGCATTAATGAACTGATTAACAGACACGATTAACTAATTGACTCGTTGATCACCCACAGATCGTTCGAACAGGAAAAAAGAGAAGAGTATAAAAAGTTCATGATTTGTCTTACTTAATAAACAGTTCCACTTATATATACGTGAAAAGAAAATGCTTTACTTACAACGAACATTCCAACATTTAATACGCCAAGAGGCTTATCGAAGTCCTCGGTCTTCTTCATGCAATTTTTAATGGGCAATACGAGAGCTATTCCTTCGAAGGCAAATATGGCCGTACCAAAGTATATGGCCAATTCACGAGGCGATGTATACATACGACGTTCGCTAATAGGCGGTAAGCCATCTTTAATGGCATAATATAAAGTAATACCCAAGCCGAGAATCATGCATAGCGCAGCAAAAGCCGAAACAGGTGCCAAATATTTCAAATTCCTAATCAATATCGACAGCCAGATGGGTATAAAGCAAATGAGCATCAAAATGCGTACATCCATGACTATATCATAGCCTAGAAGAATCTAAATGAAATACATAATTATATATAGAATGACTTATGATTTTATCAATGGATGCGCGCGCTTTACTTACCTTTTTAACATTTGTGCTGATAAAGACAAAATATATACAACAAAAACCCAACTGAGTTATACAAATGAATACGTTTACAGCAATCCTTACTGATTTTGACCATGTCCTAAGTTTGGTTGGACTATTCGCGAAACATAGCTCGACCGTTTCAGCAAAATCTGGATACTTTTCATCTCCGCTTATCGCTCGCATTCGGATCGAACAATTCACCAACAAATGTTGACAATGTATACAAGCGAGGGCGAGTAATAATGTAAATGGCGTAGACACAGCGATACCGCCGTGCTTGAAAGCAAAACCCATAGCAAATAAACCTGGCCCAATGTTGCCCTTAAAAAGATGCACAATGGCCTGAAAGTAACTAAAAATTAGATAACAAAATATTTGCCTCAAGTCAAGAGAAAACAAATAAAAATTGCTTTTACTTCGTCGGTTCCTCCTTATATGATTTTTCTTCCTCTTTCCTTAATTCGTCTGGGTCCATCTTGTGTCTGTTATTATTGTTAGTGAATTTTGGACTCGTGTGCGAATTTTCATTTCTTACGCTCGCCTAATTGATTGCAATAACAAGAAGGAAAGAAAAGAAAATTTATTTTAAAAATTTTAAATTTACTTTTAAAATTTACTTCTAATTGACACAATGATAACGAGAAATATTAACGAATGATTGAAGTGAACAGAATAAAAAAAAAGAGTAAGCAATTCAGAAAGTTATATTTGGCGGGATCCGATTCTCGCATACCCATCACTTTGTTTCTCGCAGACACACAGACGGTGAGGAGGACAGACGGACAGACGTGGCTAAATCAACTCCGAATTTCACGCTGATCAAGAACTTTAGATACTTTATAAGGTCTCCGAAGCATACCCTCATCTTACAGTGGTGGCTATAAAAAGCAACATATATATATATATGTATATATGTACTGCTTTACAAACTACATTTTAAAATATCCAAGCGACGGTTTATGGTTCTCGATGCCGCATAGACTCAATCGTAGTTTAAACATGTTACTCGACCAAAATTTTGCGACGGAAAGTCTTGTTCTTCGATAGTATGAAATATGCATACTTCATCAACAGATGTAAACTCTATATTCGTTAAAGCGAGTGCATAATCGACAGCGTGAACTATAAGCCAGCCCATATTTGATTATATGACAGAGGAAGAGATTCACTCATAATATACGTAGATCGATAATCGCATCATTGTACGTAGGAAATATTTCAGTCAAATCGTATCTTTTTAAGATTTCTGTATTATTCTACAAACACAGGAAAACGTTGAGGAGAATTTGAAAGGTAAGCTTTGAGGGCATAATCCCGATTTGAACGGATTGAGCGATAAAAATATAAAACAAAGAAAAAGAGATGAGTGACCGCAGAATAGTGTGCTTGGTTCATATTTAAGATTCGCTGCCATACAAAAGGTACAAATTTTATTTATTTTTATAACATATTTGGATATGTGAATTGTGGATTTTCTTTCTCTATTTCTTTATTTATTATAATTAGCTCTTTTTCTCATAATCATTGCGTGGGTTTTACTTTGTGATAATATTCGTTAAGATAAATCGTATATAAAAAAGAAAATTACTGTCATAATCTATCATGTAATATTTATCACAATATCTACGCATATTAGTATTAATTGCATGTAATAAAGTGAAACATCAAACAAATTGTGGTTTTTTTTTTTGTAGCATGAGAAAAAAAATCGTAGTTAACTTTTCTCTTTCTTTCGAGTAGCATGTATACCGTTGTTGACAGTGTAAATTTTCACTTAGTTAATCACGTTTAATTGAAACTGACAATGTCAACGATTTTTATTATTACTCGTTAACGTAACACATGGGCCCCGTTACTTATCTGCGTACCACTTTATATGTAGCTAAAATGCAATGCACATATATATATATATAAATATATACGTATATAAATTTAATTCAATTCAATTTAGAAAAATAAAAAAAAATTTTTTTTTGATATAGTGAAAGGATATATATTAAAATTGATCGCTTGTTTACTTCCTCAACATTAGCGGAGTGAGGAGGTATTGATTCGCCTTCGATTGGTATTTCTTGCCCTGTCGCAATAAGTTATTTTTAATTTGACATAATTTGACTTATTATTATTATTATTAATTTAGCCAGAGAATATATTCAAAGCAATAGAATCTAAGGCTATCGCAATTTAACTTAAATTAACTTAAATATGAATAATTTGAATAAAAATAAGCAGCCTCTTAAAACGCTCCTCCATCGATCTATTTGCTTGCACTTTAGTCTATCTCCCTCGTTGCCCTTCGAAGTTTAAGGTGTAGGTTTTTCTTTCTTTTTCCATTTCGATTCATAGAAATACTTATATTACACTGAAAAATAAAATCTTTCATAGAACCATATATACATGAATGCGAAAATGGCCTCAGCAAGGCTCGTAGACATGCCCCCAATTAACCTAATCTATTGCAAGTTGCATTTATTGCCTTCAAAATGCTAAATGACTAAGGCGATCATAACTTCCCTGCTTGTTTATTTTTTGCATATACAAAAACAAGTTTTAATTGAAATTTAATTAATCGTCTGTCTATCTTCTATTCTCTACTTCGTTTTTTTTTTTTTTTTTGTGTATTTTTTGCAAAATCTATCTTTTGTCGTTCAGATTGATTCCGCACGTGCCAGCTGTTAACGTAACGTTTAATAAAATTCATAACCAGTTTCAATTAGTATGTACTGACAACAAATTAAAAGCTTGCAATTACGAACAAATGGAAACATTTGCTCACATGCTGTGATTTTAGTAAAACCCTGTTCCTATATGCAAATGTAGAAAATTCTATAGAAAATGCTGTGAAATTGCGAATTTTATCTCAATAAGATATTTGAAATTTTGTGATAATAACTTTATTGCATGAAATGTTCTCAGCCTTTTATTTTTCCTTTTCTCTAAATAAACATAAACAAGAATGCCTTTTTTAACACGTGTTAGTAAATATGTACACATTTCTAAAAAGTCACGATTCTTTAATGAAAGAAAATAATGCCTTACAATTTATTTTTATATTTATTTATAAATAAATGGAAGAAAGAAATATTACTGAAGGAAGTTATGAATGCGTTTTAAATGTATTAAGTACTAAAATATTAAATACAGTAAACATATTTTTCTTATTCGTTTCATCAGCATAAGCTATTTAGTTCACAGAAGGAAAAATTTTTTCGGAATTCGATCGTTAAGGAATTTTTACGCTTCTTACGGTCCTTATGTCACAAAGATTTCATAAGTATCTTTAGTTAGACTCATTGTCGAATATATCTCAATTGTTAGTCAGTTAGTCACCAAGCTACAGCTATTATGTGCCCTTAGTGAAATCTGTTTCGAAACAATTTCTCCTATTTTCTCTTCGTGGACTCGGGTGGCAAGCGCATAGAACACTTTCTGTATACGAGAACAGGTTCCTGTTAATCTAATCTCATTAAAGAAGAGAAGCCTGGCTCTTACTTCGAGTTTCGCGGTCAAAGTAACTAACAGTAGTTAGCAGTAGATTGATCATTCCGAGCCTTCCGTTGAGCGTATCGCTGAGTAGAGCCAATTATGAACCTTACCCTGTCATACGAGTCCTCCGCAAACACTTTAATGAAAAGAATCATTTATTCTCCGCTTCAGATAAAAGCGAATCTGCGAACCGTCAATTACTTATAGTCGACAACTACATTGACCGCTGCTTAAAGCTGGTAGTTGATGTCACAACTATTTTTCCTTTATCTTTCTGCCCCTTGCCATTATAGCTCTGCGTTGAGTTATTTTCAATCTTATCCTTATATTACTATTGTGAGTCATTATGGTATGTAGCTGCTATTAGCTAAACAAGTAAACAAATAATTTTTTGCTTTCTTCTCTTTGCGTACATTTTTCAAGCATTGTATGTACGTAAAATAAATTCTTTGTAAGTGAAAATTGTTGTAGAAAAATAATTTTTTTTAATTATATCCCACAACAAACTAAATAACAATTTGAAAGGGAGCAACATTTTTACACTCGCGGTAACTAAGTTTTTATGGCATTTGTCGCAACAGAAACAGCAGAACAATAGGCACTCGTGAGCCTATATTGAGAGTGCAAATTAGTTCGGACCGTTCTCGATGAGAGAATGCAAATAGCACTACGCATAAGTATTGTCTTTCAATTATACGCATTTCTATGAACTATTAAAGCGGACAGAACGCAGCTTCTTGTGGAGTTGAGCAAATATAACTCTCCGTACGACTAGCGGGAAACTTTACTTTTCCTATTCAATTCGAGAAGGATAGTGCTGGAAGGATAGTATGAGTAAGCTGAGTAGGCAAACTATTAACAGCGACGATAAAGTTAAATGTCTGCGACGGTTCGATTTGGTTGGATTCGCATGGCGGAAACATAATGCAGAGGAACTTCGACGATTAGGCTGAACATCTTTTGCAATCCGATTTGAAAGGATCAGCTGGACATGATCTATTATGGTTTGTGCAATTGGGACAAAAAATGAGCGGCATATGTCAAAATTCATAATATTGTGAGTTTTCACTGGAAACTAAGTAATTCATCTCCATATAGTAAATTTCGGTCAGGAAATATTTGCAGCTCTAACTTGGAGTGTTCTGATCATCATCCAGTTATCGGCAAACATTATTCCTTTCGTTTAAAACCAAGTTTCAATAGATTATGGTGGCATCCAAATATGGCTTCTTTTGGAGATAGCCTCAAAAGGCGAGACATTCTTTTGAGATGGATTTCGAAAATTGCCTGAAAGTTAGGAAAGAGTGATCGTAGTAGTAATCAACAATGGACAATAGTTTGATTAATTAATCTGCACGCGTTTTTCACCACAAAGCGAACAGACCGAACTAATTTATACTTCCACTACAACTTATATATAGATTCCCAAGCGTAGAGATATTCTCAAATCATTGAATCATATCGATCTGTCAATTGATTACGAAAGAATAAAGTGAAATGCATAGGTTGAACTTTAACAAACATACGCTTAATTTTGTTTTTGTTTTATTAAATTCAAAAGCATTTTTATCAAATAATCGCATATATATAAATATTGAACCTGAAATTTGATACAAATATCTATTAAAATTATCGATTAAATTAAATGAAACGATTGACGTCAAACCACAATTAAGGACAAAATTGAAACTTATGTTTGTTTTCTATGTCCTGCCTTTGACGATGAAAAGTATGAAAGATTCGACTCGAGTCGATAGTTTGCTTTCTTGTTTATGAACTTATTCCTTGGTAACTGTTAATTACTGCTTATTGATTAGTTAAAGAAAAAAAAATCATTTTTACATCTTCCCAACAGTAATCAACATTGAAGTACAAGTAAGAAGCAAACTAATTATGTCCACCTTACGGTGTTTGACAGCTTGTAGCAATGGCTTGTTGTTTATGACGATCGAAATCGAGAGAGAGAGAGGACGGATCGCTGTTACTCTTCAACTAGGGTTGCGACTCTCAATTCTAAATATCGGGCATCTTGGCGATCGTTAAACTGACAGCGACCAATGGTAAACATATGAGTTCTTATTTTTGAAGACGTGATGTAAATCCAATTTGTATTGTTTGGAGTTATTTAAGGGTTTTTTTTTTTTTTTTTGCATTCGAATGGTTTGAAAAGTATTGGCATAGGTATTATGCGCATTTTACATTTATATATTAAGTTTGCGTCGGCAACGTGTGCAACACCCTGAAGGAGTCTTGTATTAAATCGATTGATTGAAAATCACTTTCTGAATCGAACCAAACCTTGTCTGTCCGTCTAACCATCTCTTCCTCATGTCTTCCGTCCGTTTTGCATTCTTCCGTTCAATCTACAGATCGCAATTTCGATTGATATATTGATCCAATTTGGTACATGATTTGACATGATTTGATGAGGTCAAGGCAGCACGCTGTTGAAAATGTTTCGGATCGGAGCATTTCGGATTGACCATTTCCGATAGAACGCCTTATTTTGAAAATTTATTTTCTCGATTTAACTATCGTGCGGTTTTGTGTGGCCGACTATGGTATTTTTACTTGTTTAAAGAATTAAACTGGTCTCAGTTTCTAATGTAATTGCTTTGAAAGTATTATAGTTTAGTCATTCTTATGGTTAATTAAAGTTTTTGTCAAAAATGCACTTTTACATCAATTTCAAAGAAAGCGACTCACATGGATTAATGTATGAATGAATGAACATAAGGAGGACGACAGCTATGTTATACCTACTAAAAAGATATAGTAGTTACAACGTTTGTAAGTTAACGGGAATTGTCATTTTAAAACAACTAAGTGTGCTATAATCGTGCAAGGCCGAACATTAGATACCCTATATAATTTCGGTTAATTAATAATACGAAACAACACGAAAAATTATATACTATTTCCAAGCTACGATATCATTATCATGAAAGCCCTCGCATTAGAGGATACCCAACGTGGGTTAAATTTAACTTAAGCTTAATTTACTTGTCAAAGAATTTATACGCTTCCATTGCTTCCGTGACAACCACACACAAATTTGGGTTTGTAGAGCTTGCTTTGACGAGTGCCCCTGCATTTATTACGACATGGTCTAAGATGTAGATCTGTAAGATTCAAATTCCATACGATTGAAAAAGTTGTCCGATCCAACCCATTTTCAATCGCATTCATTCTCGGGCCAAATTTCATTAAAATATCTCGAAAATTGTTACCTATTGAACAAAATTACATGGACAGGATATCCGATGGGGAGGCAAACGGACAGGCAGGCTTAAATTTTCAATCGATTGCTATAATGAAGGATTGATTTTTCTCAAGTCCTTCTCGTTGTTACAATTATCCGTACATACTTATTATACTCTACACCAGCAATGGTGTAGGGTGTAAAAATGCGCATTTCGAATATTAATGCAAAGATTCGGTTTTTTTTTTTCTTTATTATTTATACAACTGTCGTTAACATCTGTTACACGAGCGCTTTACTGCAATGTACTCTCTAATGATTTGTATAAAATTTGAAGGTCATTTGAAGGCTCAGTTAATGGAGTGTTTACGACAAGTCTATCTGCACACACCGATACATAAAAATTTTTTTCCCTAGTTTCGGCGAAAATATTAACTGAAATCATTTTATGCATATTCGCATGTTTCCCTTAACCCTGCATTACAGGAGGTTAAGTGTGTATCTTTGTTGCGTGAAATGAAAGAATTTCACTCAAACATCAAAATTACATTTTCTGCTGACCAAACAGGAAGGTGCCCTGTTCATTTAAACTCCTCGGGTACTATGAAATCATGAAACTCTCTTTTTAGTTTTTGTCTTCATACTCTTGTCTTTGACATCTATGTGGAGTTATATGCCAATATTCTCAGCTCATCGATAGTTACATGTGTTCTTGCGATTATACAACACAGGAGTTTTTCGAAATGATTTCCGACCGATTTTACTACCGAAGATGGGACTTGGATTTGCGCATAAGACACGGAAAAAACCGCTCAATCGAAGGAATATCGTGCAAAAGATGATCCAAAACCAAAAAAATTGCGTCAAAATCCCCACCTAACTCCTTCCGCCAAGCCAAACGATTTCTGCAAATTTTTTTCATTGCATTTAGCACAGATGGCCACACTTCCATTTGCCTTGCATGATACTTGAACCTGACAATCAGCGGTTCAGCGTTTTGATGCCGAATTTGATGTTAAATTTATCCGATTTATTCGGTACGCATTAAGTAAAATTGGTATTTGGCTTCAGTTGAGGACACAATTGCTCAGCGACTGTTATGTCTTCGCGAAGCTTAGAACACTTGCCTGCCTGTTCTTAATAAATTTTAAATAAATATTTAATGAGCGAAATTGACTCCATCCGGAAGTCTAGTGTTAATAGCTTATCAAAGGAAAATCCTAAAAGAATGAATCGCTTAGGAGCCTCAAACGAAAAGCAATGGAATCCCGATCAACCTTAAACCTTAAATAAAGGGTTTATTTATTTATTTAATGTTGTTGTTGTTTTTTTTTTTTTTTTACCATAAAGTCTCTCCAAGGTTAACAGATTAGGTTAAACAACTTAGAGTATTATGAACTATTAAATAATTATAAAGCAATTTTGTTGTAATATAATTTTTTTTTCTTATTTTTATTTATTTTTCAAGATTAAAAAAAAGGAGAAAAGAAAAACGAGCATTTAATAATCACCCTAATGTATAGCAATTAGCATTAAGTTAAACACAACTTATCTGCATAAAATCATAATTTACAAAATTTATAAGTTGCAGTAAAGTGGAAAAAAAAGTAAAATAAAATAAACAAAAAAAAAAAAGAGAGACATTGAGATTTAGCTAAGATTTTATGCAACTAACGCTTATTTATAGAAAATGAAAAAAACAAAAAGGAAAAATTAAATTAACTTTAATATGATGTCAATAAAATGTAACGCATTTTATATCATTTTAATTATTTATTTGTTTTTTTTTTTTCTCATTAGAGAACAGCATGTTTCTGGCTTCATATGCACCCAGGTAATCGAGGTAGAAACTGTAACCATTAACCATTTCGATTCTTATCTTCTTACTCGCCCCTAAGTTAAAAAGATATACTAACCATATCTTTTCGTTGGCGATATGGCGAGCATGCAAGAAATAGAGTGAGGGAGAGGGGAAACCGTATATATAAGAAAATCAATATATGCTTAAGTTACATATGTTAAAGTCACGGCGAAGGCTATCGATTCTTGTGGGACGCAATGTTTCACGCGTATTACTTCGCCAATTACGATAGGCTTACATGGTTTATATTAATTGAATTTTTTTTTTTTTTTCGGTTTTTTTAATAGATTATCAAAATTTATTGTTGTAGCAATCATTGAATAATTTGATTATAATAATAACCAAAATATTACAGCCAAACATTAAGATTTACATAAATACCTTTGATTTATCTGTTTCCTCTCTTATATATATATATATATATATACCAGGGGGGCTCCAACAGGAAAGGGACACTATTTATTTTTCCCGAAAAGATATTTATTTATTCATTAATATCTCTTTTATCCCCTTAGATACATATTTATATATATGTATACATAATAGACTTGTGCCAAAGCGTATTCCAATCCGCGAAGCATTTCTGATACGCACAAGAATTTATACACATATATATTCAACTTTTGATTCAGTTCTATAGACCAAAATTTAAAGCTGCACAAGTTAATCTTTGCGTGATCGTGTGATGGTGGATTGCATCCGAAATGTTTCATTTTTTCAAATAGTTCGGAATGTATGTATGACAAGTCTAGCTATAACTAATAACTAATATGTGAAATGGTAGGTATACAAGATTCGTCTCAAGGCGAATATAACTTTCTTACTTGTTTGTTTGTTTGTTCGTTTGTGTTCTTTTTTTTTTTTTTTTTTTTTTGTATTTATGTATATGTATAAAAAAATTTTTTGGGAATTTTCCATTCAAACGCACTTGATTTTCAAGATACATATGTGGACTTATAAGCATGTGTTTGCGTATGTGTATGTGTGTGTTTGTGTGCTGGGTGCGTGCATATATGTATATATATGCATATAATATATATATATATATATGTATTTGTGTGTGTGTGTGTGTGTGTGTATATGTGTGTCTGCGTTTGTCTATGCAAGAAGAAGAAGAAGAAGAAGAAAAAGAAGTACTGCTGCAAGCATTTAAAAATAATTCAAATTCTTTTTAACAAACCACTTAACAATTTAATTTAATTCATTTTTTTATAAAATATTTTAATTTACTAGGTCATTATGAGTTACATATAAAAAGACATATCTACATATGTATATATATATATATATATATATAATATATTATATATATATAATATATATAATATATATTTATATATAAAATAATTTTTATACTCACCTTTCCGTTGGCACTCATTTTTTTCTTTCTTTTTTTATTTTGTTTTGGAAGAAAATTTTAAACCCTTTTTTTTTTACTTTCAATAAAAATAAACAAAATAAATTCACTTTTATTTAAACGTTTTTATTAACTTTTAACAGGTGTTTTATTTTTATTCTCTCTTATACATATATATGCATATAAATAATTCTTAAATTTTTTGTTTTATTTTTTTTTTTTAATTTTTTTTTTTTTTTTCGTATTATTTTTTCAGCAAATTCGGCACTGTTTGTGTCTCTTGTCTTTTATTTAATATGTTTTTTTTTTCTTTTTTCAAAATTCGTTTTTAAACACTTACTAACGACCGATTGTCTTTCTATATGAATCTCTTTAAAAGAGCAAGAAGCGGAGAAGATCTCATCGGTCTCATGTGTGGATAAACACTGTATAGATTACTTTTACGGATGGATATCTTAAGCAGAGTTATTGTTAGTCGTGTCTAGCGTAATCTGTAAAACTGCAAAACAAAAAAAAATAAATAAATAAAACAATTCTCTCAATCACGTTAGTGTTCGTTCAGTCGCCGTTGATGATCTGCGGCACTCTAATCGCTCTAGCGTATCGTTCGTTCTTCAAAGTCTAAACTACTGAGCAGTAGCGCACCAATTACATCGCGTAGCCTATGATGATGAGTTAGTTGCGCGCTCACACACATTCTGTGTGTGTGTGTTTTTTTTTAAATAACAACAAAACAAAATAAAAAAAAAAAAACAAAAAATGAAGCCACGAAGCATATGAATTGTCTTCTATTCTGCCCAGAATAAATTCGCATGTGCACGCTTCGGATGGACGTTTTCTTAAAAAAATAAAAATATTATATTCTTGTTCTTTTTTATTTTTATTGTCTTTTTTTTTATTTTTTCTTCTTTTAAGTTTAAAGCAGACGTTTTCTTTATTCATTTATTTACTTTTCTTTCTTTTTGTTTATTTTTCATATTTTTTTTTTTTCTTTCTCTTTATTTTATTTTATAATTATTGGCTTTATATAAATAAAAATTTTATGGCTTTTAGTCAACAATTAAACGCTTTTATGCTTTACGCGTTAAATACTGACTTAAGTAAATTCTTCTTCTTTATTTATTTATTTATTTATTTTTTTATTTATATCCATCACCGAAAGACGAGGGTTGTAATCATTTTGTCAAAACGTTTGAAATGTCCAGAAGAAAGTTTCAGAGATTCCCAAGAGTGTATATCTTCGTGATCATCATCACATCCTAAATCGATTTAAGCATGTCCGTCTGTCCCACTATGTAATATGCGTTGTAAACATTCTCTTGGCGACAAAAATGAAGAAATTTGGCAGAAGCATTAAAAGTTCTTGCACACAAGTTGATCGGGCTAAATCGGTCGAAGAACACGCCTAAAGTAGTACATAAAGTAAAAATACCTCTGCTTTTCAAAAAAAAAAGTAATAAAAAATTGGTTTTTTGTTCGCTACTCACACTTCTGTGGGCAAAAATGTACTACTTGCACAAAAATTGGAGAAAGTGATCACGCCTACCCAATCTTATAGTGTATCAAAATTAAATTTTGCTTTCAATACCTTATAAGGCGCAGAAGCAAGCTTAAAAAAACGCCGTAATGTATACAAATTTTTGAGCAGTTTCATAGTCGCATGTGCGTTTGTTTATCTGTCCATCTGTCCATTTATGCGCCTCTCCAACTATATAGTATTTGTGCCGTTCAGAGAAATGAAGATATCGCCTACAAATTCGCAAATGAGCTAAATCCATGGAAGGACACACCTATGTAACAAAAACTGTGGACATCTTTCCGCATTTCTGTGCTTTTCGCTTGTTGCTCATAAAATCCGAACACCTCATCCGTCCATTCAATTTCATATAGTAGGGAAATTTAGTTCTTTTGTATAGTCTGCTATAGTCTTTCTTACGATGATGGGTTTAAAAAATTCGGTCACGACCGAATATAATTTGCTTCCTCGTTGTTGATTTTTATTCGTTGCACACTAATAGGAATATTCATTCATTCTTCCGTCGCTTCTTCCAGTTATTAAAATTGTTTGCTTTTCGTTTGAAATGATTTTTGAGAAATCATTCAAAATATTTATTAACGATTACTGAACGCTACTTCATTTCACGGAAAACGCTAGCCTAATAAGAATTTTTTATGATTTCAAAAATAAATATAGAACTGAGAGTGGGGTGCAGCAGTGCGATGAACACTGCGAGAGGGCTACCAGTAATTCGTAATGTGATTCTTTTAATTCGACTTTTGCAAGAACACTTAATGGGATCCCATGAATGTATTGTTGTGATGAAAAATGAAAAATTGCATCCATTTGATACAAAATTCATCAGAAAAGCCTCGAAGAAAACACATAACACATTCCTCGCAATGCGTGTGAAACAAATAAAGCAAATAAATAAAGCGTTCAAGAACTGGTTAACTTGTTGTTCTCGTTGTGAAGGATCTTTTTCTCAAAACTAAAACTATTCCTTCTTACAGATCAATTAAACTTAAACGTGGAAGAAATGTTTTTGCACTTCCTAATCTAATTAGAAGTGGAGGTATTCAGTAGTTCAATTTGTTCCTTCTTATACATATTATATATTCTTCAAATAGTTCCCGAATATCATTGATGTTCTAAATTGAAAGATACGAATATTATTCTGTTGCATTCTGCTTGTTCAAATGAAATAAAGGCTCCTCTCTTGACTATACTATCTTCGCATTTGGCTCATAACAACAGACGAATAGTTTTGAGTCAATATAAAACTAACTATGAGTTATTTAACCCCTTTCGATGTCTATTACATGGCTACTATCAAACGAATAAGCAAATAATTAAATAAATAAATCAATGAAAGGTTTTCAATACACATGAAATGTAGACTTGATGTGGATTCCTTGCAAGCCAAAGTTCTAATTGGAACACAATCTGAAACATTTCATCGATTTCAACTCTTTTAACAATTGTTTCGGAAAACCAATCGTATCGAGAATTCGGGAATGTCGAAGTGATTCCTTCATCTAATGGTTGGAACAACGAGGAACACTTTAAAGGCATTACCAAAGGCAATTTTTACGTTAGAATGATTCAAATCTCTGCTATGCCTATTTGCATTATAAATGAGCACAAAACTTTATGATCAAATTTTTTTGTTGAAAAGCTTGTTCTATTTCAAAAATAAACCAATTTTTGAAGCAGTTTTTAAATAAATTTTACGTCATTCCAGTTTCTTTTATTTGCTCACCAGAAATCTGGCAGAGATTTATCAAAAAAATCCAGTGGAATTTAATCGCATGCGATTTTTTGAAATCATATCACAAGAGTGCTATAATAATCGCAAATTTTATGTCATGTAATATGGATATTGCGATTTACAAATACCGCGTTATATAAAGGATGCCTGTACACTTTTCCCGACCTCATGAAGTCGTCTTCCATACGCTGCAAACGTTTCGACATAATAACTCCTCAATTAACCGTCATCTCTTAGTGGTCGGTATAATAAATTAATACTTTATATTTGGACAAGACCTGAGGTACTAAGTTATCTCATGCAATAAATAAAATAAGGAAAATAACGTGTTGTTGCGATACTAAGGCTTATTATCCATAAGTGCTCGCTATTTCGTGTATTAATTTTCATCATGAAATCTATCTATTACATCTTGTTGCAATTTGTAAACCGGTTTTTTGTAGGGATATTTACTTGGAGCGCATTTAAGAGATAGTTCCATCCGATCTAAACTTTCTACATTCGTTTAATATACCAAAATGATACCGTTGTAGAAAGTTTTATTGTCCTTTTAAGATATACGATCGATGTTTTTGTCCAAATTTGTCAACTCATAAGTGTTCCTGCTATAAGACCTATTGATTCATTTAGGTGAGATTACAAACTGCTTGATTAGGAAAAACAATCGTATTCCTTAAATCAAATTGGAACCTGCCTACTATTTAATTATAATAAATTTTCTCTCACGACATGTCTCTGTGTCTGGACGAAGAAAATGTCTTCTACATTAATATTTCCCACCATTCAATACGAATATTTATGCCAATAGAAGCAATATAAATTATAATTAACGCAATATATTAATACAAGATTTTATTATTAATTCTTTATGCAAACGGTACATGATGAAAATTCAACGAAAAACAATTAAAAATGTAAAGACAAATAGACAAGTGTTAAGCGCGTTAAGTGAAGAATAGTTTATGATTTCTGTATATCCACACATTGCAAGGTGTATGTTAAGTTTTCAAAATGCTTGTGACACCAGCATGTGTGCGTCTTGTCAACGTGAGTAGCCTAGTAGACAGGAATCGCAAATACCAAGCCAGTGTTATCGGATTGAAATTGTTGTCATAAGTGCTTAATCGGTAAAAACAGAGCGCGTCACCGATTGGGTACACATCCGCTAGAGTGTGGCCAAGCATCTAACCATCTTCTTCTCTTTATTCGATTCTTTGTGATCCTCGCCGTGTTACACCAGCAGGGTGTTGGGTCCTAATTGATTGGTAAAATTAAGAAACAAAAAACCAATCTTAACCCTAAATAGCGAAATGGATTTAACAGGATCCTCCTGCCCAGCCATTTTCTCATTAATTGGTACTTGGGTTAAGATCATGAATAGCACAGACTCGAATTTATACTTTCTTACTTACTCTCTCTCTCTCTCTCTCTCTTTCTTTCTTTCTTTCTTTTCTTATTTCTTTCTCTCTTTTTGCTGACCTAAAGCTGAGCTTAAAACTTAGCTAAAATGTCAAGCAAAAGCCTCAAATACTTATATCCAAACTTAAGCTTAGTTCGCACAACATGTCTTCCATTACATGTATCTTTAGAGCGAATATTTTATGTCGAGCTTACTATTCCATCAGTATACATATCACATTAAAGAAGTGTAAATGAGTTTTATTATAGCAATTATAGTTACGTTTACATATCACGTTCCGTTTATAATGCCATATCATGCGCAAACATTTTTAACGAAATATTTTTTTCTTTTCGTCTTAAAACATTTCTTTGTTTACCTACGAGTAAGTAGTATATCCATTCTATTTGATATATCTGTAGGATGTAACAAAATTAAAAAAAAAAAAACTTGAAAATATATTTAATTAAAATTAACGGAGAAGGCTAACGATTAGTTATTCTGCACGCTACACTCTGCTTAATACACTCGTTTATTCATTTCGCACCCTCATGTCCTAATGTGCTGAAAGCTGGACTGGCATAGTCCAAATTTAGCATTCAATTGACTTGACGACAATTTTATTATTTTTAAATTGTTTCCGTCATATAAAACTTTGACGCTGTAGAAGGGTTCGCATTTCATGAAACCCCCCATATATGGTTGGGTCCAAAAAATAGACCTATGTGATCCAAATTCCGTATCGTTGGTTTTTATGTTACATTGTCCTTATGGATAGATTTTCATCATAGAATATTAATATCACATTTTTACCATATAAGGACCTACTTTTCCTTGGAACCCTGATAAAGCGTGAGATTTACAAAAATTAGTCTACGTAGCGCAAATATGGTCAAGTTCTTGTTATGAACTAATTCTCACCAACGAATATTGAAAGTTAAACCTCTTTACCGTCTGAGGTTTAAGTTCTCGTAGGAATGGCTATCTGAGAGGGCCTTCAAAAAGTGCCCGATGCGATTCAAATTTATCACATCGATTTAGAGTACCGAAGTACCATTGCTTAATGATGTTCATTGCGAAATTCTGAATATTTCAAAATTTTTTCATATAACGATTTTACCAGGAAAGTGGTCGAAAAACTGAGACCGATCAGAACTATTTTCAATACGGTTCGTCCGTGGGCAGAAACACGTCGGTATAATCATTTCCATTAAAATATCTCAAAAATTATGGCCAGTTCACGCAAAAAAAAAAAAAAAAAAATACATGGGCAGACATCAGACAGATAGATGGATGGACGAAGAAATAGACATAGGGTCAAACAGACATGGAGACAGATAAACAGAGCAATAGTCTGATTTTACTCGTTTATAATCAACCTATTTTAACCGAAATTCTGATAAGAATCTTCTCTTTTTTACATGTATACACTTTCGTACAAAGGTGCACATATTACTCAGTTCATTGATCCTTTAAAAATTAATTGTTTAATATCTCTATAGAGATTAATGAAATTACGGACACGAGAGAATATTCACTTATTGCTCGTGAAACAGTGTGTTTGTTCGAGATGCTTTTCAAAAATCCATCCGTCCATCCGAAACGGAGATAAGAAATATTTTCAATTGTGGTGGTAAGTATTCCAGATTCGTTGCAAATCGGTTAAAAAAGCTCTTTTCACCTGTTTTTCTCTTTTTATCTAACAATGATGAACAAACCGTTATAGGTTTCTTTCTTTTGAATACAATATTTTGAAAATATATAAACACATTCATAGGTGATCACCCGAGCGCCTACTTTGTAATCCGGACAAGCAGTTAATCAACTTTTGGTTTCATTTGTAACACTTACACGCATTTTATTTTATTTATGCTATTGGAAATACATTGTATTGGATACTAAACAATGCACACAACTATGTGACCAGTAGCTAACTAAGGTTTTCTAATTGAAAACAAGCGCCTCGAGCACATAATATATTGAAGTTAATGGATACTTTTTTTTTTTTTTAATCGCTTTACAACAAATTTTGAATATTCTTTATTGATAGCTAGCAGACAGACGAACTAGAAGATAAATAGACTGACAGTTAAGCAAAGTCATAGACGTTTGCACGGCCGAACGAAGGGAGAACCTATGGACCGGTCATGCGATGCGATCATAATAGGCGTAGGCATAATGAGATGAATGGGAAGACGTATAAATGAATGGCTTCATATATAAGTGTACGGCTTGGAAGGACGCAAGGACGGACATAAGGCACGGACAAGGAGAAATGACCAATGGCAAAGAAACGAAATCAACGAAGAAACGGATGTATGGATAGATAGACGTGTGGCGGGCCGAACTAAACGACGGATGAATAGATGGACTTAGAAAACGTTAAACGAGCCTAAGTTTTGACAAATCCATGTATGGTTGAATGCAAACATATGCTCAACTAAGAAGTTTGCCACAATTTCTCACGCCTATGTGCGAGTGTTACAAACATAATAAGACAGCTATTCTATCTTTATTGAATCGATATGCATACAATTTCCTAATAAAAGAGTAAAATGAATCATACGTTGAGCAATTAGTGCAAAAATTAGTATAAGGTTCATATTGACCTTCATAATTCCTGACTGATCTGTTCCATATTGCAATCTAACTTAACATATGTGTAGTGTCGTGTAGCGTTAAACATTCATGAACGTATGTGTTGCCGCGGTACTCTAATAATGTCCTTCTAATTTGTATTCTTTCTTCCGCATCATAGGAATATCTGTAAGGCTTTTCACTTAGTTAATATATATAATACATATATATATATATATTAAATTAATTATTAAATCGTTATATTAAGAGTGTGGCTTGTCCATGTGGTTGCGATGTGTTTTCATTTCGCTGTGAAATTTTCCATATAGAAACTGGTAACTTGTGGAAGGAAGCTGTTTCAAGAGCATAACATACAATTGAAAAGTTGTTGATCATAATATTCTTCGATTGTGATAACTTGAAATCAGTTGGAGTTTGAAGGTTAAGATGAACACAACGAAACGAAACGGTATATTTTCAAATGCTTCATTTAATGTGCTGATGAAGGCCGGAAAATCATTTACGAACATTTTCCCTCCATAAAATCAAGTAAAAGTTAAATATTTATTTAAAATTAAAAAGGTAAATAAATAAATAAATAAATAAATAAATAAAAAACACTTAACTACAATATATGATTAAAGAAAGAAAGAGATATTATTATTATGATTTTTGATTATTATTTTAACCGCGAAGATTAGTTAATAATTTGTAATGCTTCGCTAGACAATTCGTTATATATGTCATACAACGGATGAATATTATCACTGAACCGTTAAAGCACTTGCCGCCGCGTCGCACAATAGTGACCCAAAAGAACACTTTGTTTGAATATTTTAAACGAAATATTAATATAGTAAATCAAGAAAAGCGGAATATCCAAGAGATTGTATTGCACACGACGGCCTATTGCAGAAGTTTCACTTAAATGTCATTTCATTTAAATTTCAAAAGCGTTAAGAAACGGTTGCAATGTTTTGCTTATAAACTGGACTTTAATTTATTATTGCACTGTTTCCTTTTGTCGTTATTATTGTTCTGGTCGGATAAAGTGAGTGCATAAAGTCATAAAAACTAATAAAAGAAACAAGGAAGAGAGTAAGAGAGCCAGACAGAGAGAGAGAGAGAGAGAGGGAGAGTAAAAAAGAGAAAGAAAATCACAAATGAAAATGTTTTCTTTTCTCATAGTAATAAAATTATTAATGTTAAAAATATTATTGGCCAATTTATCGGATCTAACCCGATCCGAACGTTATGCGTACGCCTATTATCCGAGCGCGGAAGAATTTGATCAAGAATCCCCATTAACATGGCAATTCGGCGGCAACTTCAACAATCATCACCGGCGATATCCAGAGAGTTTCAAAACTACTTATCAACCAAAATTTCTTTATAATAAAGAACGTAGAAAATGTACAAAAGATTCTAGCGATAGCAAATATATGAGAAGATTAAACATAAGTGCTAAGGAAAATCCTATTAATGAGAAAATTGATTTTGTAATAAACGCAAGATCGAAGCCATTAAACGAAAAAATAATCGAAAGCAAAAGACAAGTTCCGATGTATTTTTCAAATCCTAAAGACGGTAAAGTGTTTATTATCAGTGAAGTAACGAATAAAAATGAACATAATTATCAAGCTATCAATAAGTCCTTCCCCATATTGATAACCAAAGAACAATATGACCGCGATCTGTTATTGTTAAAGCAAACATTATTGAAACAATGTCATAGTAATGCGTTTCTCGAAGCCTCTGAAAATACAAATACCAAGCCATCGATTATACGTTTATTTAAGCCTGCCGATGTTATAGTGAAATCTCAGCTAACAGTAAACGATAATGAGAATGTGAGAAGTGAGATGAAAATGCCGTTAATAAAAAGGAAGCAATCGTTGAGCAAAATACGAAAAAATTTGAAAAAATTCAAACCTCCCGGCCGAAAGCCTTTAAAGCCAGCAAACGCTTTAAATTCAATAGTCAATGATTCTACATTTTCGCCTATTAAGACAGTAAGTGAAATTAGCAAATTATCGACTCAACTAGAAAAACCCGTCATTGACGCCATCATCGAATCTACAGCGTACTCTAAGATTCCTCTTACGTCAACTAAAGGTTTTATGACCTTCAATAGACAGGAAATATCTGATAAATTGAATTTTAAATCTAAAATTAGAAAAAGATCTGTCAAAGAACTTGAACCGTTGAAAAATGACGAGTTAATCAAAAATTTAAAAAGAGATTTCAAAGTCGATCAAACCAAATCTAAAGATCTTTCGGAAAACTTCCATAATACGATGCAAGGTCAAATAATATTGTATTCGGGTCATCGTCCGGGCCTAGAGGATGACAGAGTCAAAAAATATTTTAAAATATATTTAAGCACAAATCAAACAAAAACAAATAATGCTGATCCTGTCGTGAAAGACTCTGCAAATTTTGCGAAAGATGATTACAATCGAGTTTTTATGCAAAGTATTTATAAAAATGCTCTTGAAAATGTAATGAAGAGAAAAAAAACAAAAGTGAATCATTCTGAAGGCAAGTTGACAACAATATCACCAAATTTCAGAAATTTAACACTAAAGTTAGGCAAAATGATTGAAAAGCTTACAAACAACACCGACAACCTGAACAGATTTTATAAGAATGCGAATAATCCACCACAACTTAATCGTAACTTCGCACACTCAACTATGATCTGGGATAGTGCAAAATATCCTAACAGTCTTTCTCAACTTAAATTAAAAAGAAAAAGATCAGTCGATAATGAGGAGAATTTCTCGAAAAGTTTAATTTCTTTACGAAATCTCAAAAATCAAACTGCGTTTCCCAATCAAAATACATCGGAACACACTTCGAAGCATAAAAGAATAAAGAGGAAGAAATTGAAAAGAAAAATTATTGATCGCAACGAGTTTAGACGTTTGGGGAATCGTACCGACGGCATAACAACTGCTCGTGCGGAAGTAATTCGACTTAAAGATCATAGAAGAAATCAATTAGAACCTGATTATTCGGATTACGAGTCCGACGATTATTACGAAAACGATCGCGAAGAATATGAAGAAGATAAGAATCCAGATTATTATACTGAGTATTCGATAGAGGACTCACACACAGCTTCGGCGACAATTGAAGACTATACTGAAACTACTGAAAAAGTTAATGTTACCGATTCTCAGATAGTTAAACCACCTTATAGCGAGTACATCGTATCCCCTACTCGCATTAATACCAAGAGTCCATCATCATCATCATCATCATCATCATCATCATCATCATTATCATCATCGATTAAGAAACGTATACGGCGACGACCATCCCGTGGTGATTACTACGATGATGATGACGATGATGATGATGATTTTCCCAGCACTTCTTTGACTTCAAATATAAGCGGTTTCTTACGTTTGCTTTTCTATCCCGTGCAAATGGTCATGTCTAACATTATGGATAACATATCGCCGAAACGTAATAAAGTTAACGCTGGCGGCTCTTCGCATTACATATCATATCATAACACCTTAAAACAACAAAGCAATGACGATTACTACGACGAAGACTCCGATTATGGAGATGATGATGATATTGAAGATAACTCATTCGGTAATTGGTTCAGTTCTTGGTTTAGTTTTAATCGTCGTAATAAAAAAATCGGTAGCACTACAACTGCGCCAAATAAACGAAAACCTAGTAAAACTTCAAGCAGTTGGCTACCGTCTTGGCTTAAATTTGGTGGCAGTAAATCGGAAGATGATTATGATGATTATGAAAGTAAGTTTTAATTAAATGAATTACATTTTCTCTTATTTTCAATAATAGAAAATAGAAAGCTAATAGAAAACAGATAGAGCGGAAAAACTATTAAGAATTACTTAGAAATTGAAAAAAAAATAAAAGAAAAAATCTTTATCTTTAATAATAGTCTTACACGAAAGCAATTATATTTAATTTTTCTGTTTGCTATAATTATTGCTATAATGTCTAATATCGAAATGATGAAGGCATGCTAGTCCCATTATTCATTTGGTAACATATGCAAATACCGAATAATGTATATACATATTACTGAGTAGTAAAAAAAATTCAAAGCTCATTTAATTATACATCGGTCCTTTATCTTTGTTATTAATGACTCGCTTGCCCAATATGGTTAACAATATTTTGAAAAAAAAAAAAAAAAAAAAAGCAAAACATGTTTATTAATAAGAGTGCAGTCTGCGAAAAACATCGATACGACCCGATAAAAACTGACAACAAATAGTTGAAATAATGATTTCGCAATCCTTACGTTATCCATGTGAGATGAGTGCTGGGTGTCTACAAGTCGATTCAATGCAAATATAATTTCTTGTTACTTGTTATTTATGCGTTAATTATGTTTATATACATATTCTGTGATTACCATCTAGGTATCTACGATTTGCTGCACGATGCTAATAATTAAAAAAAAAAAAAAAAAAAAAAAAAAAAAAAAAAAAAGACATCAAATCAATACACACGTTTTAATATTCAATTGAGATTTCAGAAGCAATGCAAACAATTGCTTTTTCTTAAAATGTTTGTTGTTTTAAAATTTTCATTAAAATTTCTTAAAATCTCTAACTAACTAAGAAAAATAACGAGGATGTCGCATTCAGCTGAGACGGCTGCAAGAACGAGCGAAGATTTATCGTAAATTTTCGTCATTCTCCCGCCATGACTCCTTCCGATTGCGACTTATTTAGATCAATATAATCATAGTTAGCGATTGTGCAAGGTTGAAGACGCACCAAAATAGTTTGATGGCTATTTCGCCCCGCTAGTTTTTACCACGAGGGCATTCATAAGCTATCCGATAAATGGCAAAAGACCATAGATAACGATGGAGCATATTTCGTGTATTAAATTTTGTAACAAGTGTATTGTAAAAAAAAAAAAAAAAAAAAAAAAAAAAAAAAAAAAAAAAAAAAACAGCAAACACTTAGTTGTACACCTATTACACTGGCTAGTGGCTCAGTTATGCAGTTATAATTCCTTCTTACTCTCTTTCTTTTCCTTTTTGTTTTTTTGTGTTAAAGTGTAGATCCAATTTGTATTGGGTCAAAGTTCGTATAAGCAGAATTCATTCGAATTAGTAAATTTTAGCGGCGTTACTTGTTAACGACTGCCCCAACGGCACAGTTAGTTTGCAATCGCATAAAAACTTTTTCGGTCACCTTCGTTCGTGTTCGTGTTCAATCCAATTAGTTTGTTAGCATTCCGACAATTGGTCCAGTCCAAAGTATACTCCAATGTCCATTAGAGTAAATGGGATAAAAATTAGAAATGAATTGGAATTAAAATTTGATCGTTAATTGTGAACGCACGAATAAACCTACCGAGCACGCAGGTGCTTTGTGCGAACAATTGGTCAGCACTTCTTCACATCATATTTTCACCGCATCGAAAGTTATAGATGAATACTTGAAATAATTATCAGCGTTTTTCGAGATTGTCGCTACATTGTTGATGTGTATGTGAATAAATGACGTCCATTTTTTAACGTCATATTTCTAATCGATCAGAGAATGTTTGCGTCAAATTTCAATTTCCTAATATTATTTCTGCGGCTACGACGGTTCACAATAATTACCCGTCAAATTGGCGGGTTTCAATAAAAATATGTATATAACATCTGGAAATAGAAAAATTTTAGCGTGTCCCAGAAAAAAAAACAAAAATGTATTTGCTGCAGTAAACCATTAAAAACTAATGCATTGTGTAACATCTGAAGATATCTGTTTGCATATGTAAAACCAAAAACCCGTCCAATCGACGGGTACCGTAAATCTAATTAAACTTAACTTAGACAGCCAACGAGAAGTGGAGCCAGTACAATGTACTATTTTGGAAAAAATTTCCCTTACTCTTGAACACATCCTATATAAATACATACACTCAGCACTTACTATTAAGATAATCGAACGAACCAGATTGGAGAAGCATGAGAAAATATAAGATCAGGATTATCGAATCGTGAATGAATCGTTTTCTACATGTGAAAAATCATTGCAGATTAATCGAAGAGTAATCTCTTTCTGATCCTAAGAGTAAGGATTCAGTGTTGAAAGAATCAGAGAGGCAGGCGAATAAATAAGATCAGGATTCGTAAATGAATTGTTTTCTACATGTGAAAAATCATTGCAGTTTAATTCTAATCCTAAGAGTAAGGATTTAGTGCTTTCATGCCATGCGAATTATTTAAAGTTTATAAAGCGTATTATCTGATAATTATATCATTCAGTAGTAACGACAACTTCAAATCGGGTTGAGCTTAATATGCTTTGGTTATAAAAGCCAAAGTACTTGTAAGTACTGTAAGAAATGATTAAGTTATTGAAAAAGGTGACTGACTATCAAATAGCGCAGAAAATGCATAATTCATTACATTTTTTTCTCTATAGATAAAAGAAAGAAAATCGTTTTTTGTTTTACTCTAAAAAGCATAAACTACTTTCTTTCCATACTGATAGAAAATATAGCTATTGTTTTAAAGTTGGAAGAATTTCCCTTTTTTCGATGGCACTGATACATGTATGTTATGAACTTAAAAAGAATTTCGTTTAGTAGAGTGTAACATTTTCTAATGAAATGAGGAAAAATTGCACGTGTATTTAGCGATTATATGTGCAGAGATTAGCAAAAGGTTACGCTTTCTACATTTTAGTCACCCAAGGCTGACAGCAATATTAACAATTTAATGCATAAATTACCACCACATTGTTACACGTTCGTACACATATGCCTTAGTAGAGATACTGTTGTTTGTAATCTAGAATGGTTCAGTAGCTGGTTTGGTGATACTAAAGTCAAAGGGAATCGAAGAAGGCCAACAACAACGACATCGACTACCACACAAATACCGCATGTACCTATATTAACGATAGTCGATCCTATGAGAAATCCACAAAATTGGATTGGCATACTAACGAATCATATGTTAAATAACGCAACGACAACGAATAATCCTATGATCGAAGCTATTAATCGGATCACAAGTACCACTACTGAGGATCCGGAAATTCCGCATAAAATCACTTATGATAAATATCAGATATGGCGTTTAAAACCTCAAGACGATAGCCAAGTGAGAATATTGGAAGATTATAAGAGAAGTGATGAAGGCATTAAATTGCAATGGCTGAAGGGACCAAGCTTAAGGTATGACCATACGATTATATATCGCATTATGAGGAGAGATATTCACATTGTTTTTTCGTTTTCGTTTTCGTTTTCGTTTTCGGTTTTTTTTGTTTTTTTGTTCACATGTGCAGAGGTCTAACGGATGTCTTAGTCCCGCCTCGTATGCTGGTAAATTTTGAAGGTTCTTTAACTTTTGAATCGATCGATCATGAAGTTTTAATATTCGATGTAGGCAAAGCTATAGCCTATGAAAAGACCAAAGAGGATTCGTATTATTCTCAAAGTACAAAAAATTTGAAAAAGCATGTTACCAAACTTCCACCTGTAACGCCGATGTCATGGCGTAAATATTATGGTTACGAAGACATAATTAAATATACTGAAAACATGCGTTTACGCTATCCTCAGCTTGTTGATCTATTACATATTGGCCGGTCATATGAAGGTCGTCCATTGGTTGTCGTTAAAATCGAAAGCAAAGAAGTGACAGCCGCCAACAATGCGGCTGAACAGACGTTACAAAAAACAAAGTTATCGCACAAGAAACGACCAGGTGCAGCGAACGCTGTCTTTATAGAAGCAGGAACACACGGCTTAGAATGGATTGGACCGGCAACAGCAACCTGGATTATTAACGAGCTCTTAAAAATCATGAAAACCAATAGTAAGTATCAAGTATTTTTTCACTATTATCCTATTTCGCTAATTTCTGATCAACGGAAAGAGCATATTTCCTTTTGTCATGCAAAAGTATTCGTGTGCAATTCGATCTATCGAAATTTTCGAAATTTTATTTACATCCGCAAAATTTAACTTTAAATTCCCCCTCTTGCTTACAAAACAGTATAGTTATTCTGGTAGATTTATCATTCTGTTCCGAACATTCAGAAGTTCAGCTTTAATGATTCTGAGATAAACGCAAGAAAATCAGTCGATCGGTATTGAGCGAAAAATCCCCACTCAAAGCCTTTTATGTAATAATCTTTCCATTATGTTACTAAAAGATTGGAAGAGTAGGGAAGGAGATACTTCAGGAAGCTTCGTGTTTAATCACTAAATTCTGAATCAATCTAGTCTGCCTGTATGCTTGTAGCATCGGCTTCAAATTTCATAATGATATTGAAAATGAATCGAACAAAGCTCAAAGGGCTCGCCTGCAATGCAGCATAAAGCTTCCAAGCATGTTATCGTGTCTGTACAGAAATGGAAAAAACCGACCAAGCTCGCTCAATATTGTGGAGTAGGGAAGTATCTATCTATCTATCTATCTACTCTCAAGTAGCAATGTATCGTTTAATTCATGCTAGTCTTCGTTTTGCTTTTCTAAGGTTTTAAAAGAACAAGGGTGACGACTATAGACAGTTCGGTCGCGCACGAATATATTTCTATTACTTCTTTGGCCGGCTACGAATTTACTGAACCTGTATGGCAGTAATTCGCAATCACGGGGGCAACGTTTCGATAGTCTATCACTCGACAGTTCGATATCTATGGTCACACGCATAATACGACGAGCTTCGTTGTCAAATAAGCGACGAAAAATCTAATAATGATTTCACATGAACTTTATTTACTATCCGAATACTTCTCTATATCTATTAACATTAATTTCTTCGTTTCTATTGCGAACTGATCGTGAAGATTAATATTCGCTTCGAAAGCGAATACTGTTCTCGCCTTCTCAAGGTATTAGCGAAAAAAAAGACTCGTCAAACATTATATTTGAATTTTGAATTGAATCAACTCATTAGGCTGAGAGTCAAGAAAAATTTAGAATCAAGTTAACATATCTCCGCCAGGCAGGCATTTTTACTTCTTTCCGAAATTATTGATAACTCTCACGTGTCGATCGATTTGGGGAATGTGCCTTGAAATTGTGCCTCAAAAATTTAGCGAGCGACGAGTATACTCGTAGCTCTTAAATTGTAATAATATAACTTGACAAAATGACATGCACACATTCGTAAAGAACATTATTATGGCAAACACACATTCATTATGATAAAGTATTATGAGAAAGTTCGACGGAGATGGACGGTCGGATCGAGATAAACAATTTTTTACAATTTTTTTGTCCTTTTTTTAATACCGTATGTACTCATCGTACATAGTGAACTGATTAGTAGAATGTATTATTTTTTTTTTTTAATTTGTTTCTTTTGTAGATATGTCGTGACATTTATTTTAATTTCCTTTTCGAGCTCGTTATGTGTCATATTGTATCATTCAAATGGCATAGAGTTCGAAAATGTCTGCAAACTATCGAAATTGTTTTGTCAACAAGTAAGACATGAAGTCACAAGAAAAATAAGCGCGATGTAGATTTTCAGCGTAGGACTCGATAAGCATTGCCAGATATATTGCGAAATGGATAAGGTCCACCTTTGGCTCTATAGCTATTATAAGAATAAACGCAGAACAACTGCTTTGCGACGATAACGACGATGACGTTCAGCGAATAATGCGCGATCTAATCACTATCAATTATGTTCAGTCCATAGCTGTATGGATGGATAAGCGTGCGGGTGTCAACCTTAATGAAAAAAAACTTATAATTGCTTGAATTAAAATAAAATTCATTGCGTGTTTGGTAATAAATTTTTCAGTTTTTTTTTTTTTTCTTCTTTTTATTTTCTCTTTATATATGAGGAAAGATTTCCTGTTTGAACATGTTTCGATGATTCTATGATATATCATTTAAAACTGTTCAGTTATATTCAAATTATTTTTATCTCTCCTGCATGCTATAAAAATTTACTATTGATGCGCTAAGGATTAATTATTATCAAATTAATAACCGAAAGTTATTAAGGCTGATAATAACCGGAGGTTTATTAGCTTTAAACACAGTCTTCTCTTTCGGTTTCTTCAGGCGAACGTGGACACATACGCCTTAATATACAGTCTCTTATATAAATGAACGGAGCAGGTGGAAATTTCATATCCAATGGATATGAGTGCTTCTCATAAATTTTGTAAATCTCTTTACCCTGACAATCTGTCATCGGTGTATTCACCGCTTTGTTCGCTTGCTTGTATCGGCGATATTTTCTAGCTTCCCGTTGCGGACAATTTTCGGCAAATTTAGCACAAAAGCTGTACGTTTTCGGTGTACCAGGTGGACATGTTGTCCTGCAACGCGGTCCTCTCAGGAAACTAAGAAATGAATTAGCCTTCTTCTCTTCCTTTTTTTTTTCTTCACAAGCGCCACCAGACTGTCTTGGTAGATTTCTCTTTAAAAATTTGCACGGTGAAAACGGTTCGGTCGGTACATCTGATGATTTGCGCGATTTTTCCGTTTTAGTCGGCCCTTTATCTTTACACGGCGATGTCTGTTTGACCTTTTGATTCGCTCTTATCGATGACATATTCTTACCCCTTTTATGCATCATAACTTGAAAGCAAACGTTTAACGTAAGCAGAAATATCAAAGATAAAACAATTACTTGCGTTGTTCTAAAAAAGTAAGACAAAGGAAGTTTTTTGTGTCGAATTAGCTTAAAAGAATGGATTTTAAAGTATTTTACCGTTTGGCATAAAAAAGCTTAACCAAAAGGTCCTTCAAATAAAGCGCAGCCGAAAGCCAAAAAAGAGCCGTCAACATAAGAAAGAAACTGAAAAAGAGCCATAAGATAAACACAAAAATTTTTAAAAATGAATTTTTCTCGCTTTTGTTGTTTTGTTTGTTTTCTCACTTACGCCATTGCTCCGACAATATCGCAGAAGATGCCACCAAAGGAGGTACTTTGTGGTTCACTACCTCCTGATAATTCGGTTGAGTTTAGCTTTCTTAAAATTGACGGCATGAATTTAGATTCTGTAGCCCGGTTTATATCTATCGAGTTCTTTAGAAAATTTGGTAGATTTGCCCTAATTGAATCCCTTACGACGTTCTGCACGTTTGGCATAAAATTTGAATTAAGTGAAGATTCTCTTGTTACTGACGGCCCTTGGACCAATGAAGTAATTGCTTCAGGTAGAACATTTCTGATAAATGCTGGCGCTGCGACGATTGATGTACTAGGTAAATTAGAAGAATCTGGTTCGGTTAACGGATTATCCGCTTCGAACGATTTTCTTCCGTTTGCTTTCATTTGGGCATGGACAGCCGGATTAAGATCCACTGTATCTTTCGGATTTTGAAATTTTGATCTGTCATCTGATTGCGACGGACTCCATTGCCTATCATCTGATTGCGGTCGCCTCCAAAGCCTATCGTCGGCATACGTTTGACCACAAGGCCTATCGCCTGATTGCGGTTGCAGCCAAGGCCTATCATCTGAATGCGTTTGGTTCCAAGACATATCATCCGATTGCTGATTAGATCGAGAGCAAGCGTTCCAACGCTCGAAATTAATCGCAATATCAGAGTCTTTTTCAATGTCACGATATCGTTTACATTTTTGACAGGAACAACAACTAAGGTCGCATAACATTCTTTTTCTCATTTTCCTTGCGCATCTTTCCATCTTTGCAGACTTTTATTTATTTTAAAGTTTTTTTTTTGTTTTTTTTTTTAATTTTTTTTCTATTTTTATGTAAAATTTTCTATTACGTATACATATAGAATTTTTTTTTTCCAAATTTTTTTACAAGAATTTTTTCAATTTTTTTGTTGTTTTTTTTTTTGCTAAGAAAATTTCCGAAAATTTTTTTTTTTTTTTTTTTTGGTTTAAATTTTGTTCGAAAGATGTGAAGACTGTCTGACCAAAACGGATTTATGTAAATTTTGAACAGAAACTTACGACCGCACACGTACGTGCTGCTCCAGTCAGTTAAGAAAAAATAATAAAAAAAAAAAACTAATAAACCATATATATGTTGGGAAAATTGTTTACTTACTTCTGAAATTGTTGCCCATAAATTTATTTGAAAAGGTTTCTATAACGCTTTGATTTGTTTCAAATTGGAAGACGAAGAAAAACAACTCGCAAGAAACATGTTTCCAAACCATAAGGTATTGAAATTTGAATAAATTAATTTAATGCTAGTAAGACTGACCCGAATTTTGAATAGTTAATGCTCGAACTTTTTACACCCTACGCTACTTGCGTTACAAGGATATACAATGTTAAGTTTATGGGGATGTATACAAGGCACAGAAGGACCTCAAGGACGCAACTGTTCATTACATCGATTGGTTCGGAATCACTTTTGCAATCGATCTAAGCTTGTCTGTCCGTCTGTTTATCCGATGTCTGCCCACGTGGATTGTTGCTGAACTGAGATATTTTGAAGAAATCTGATACACGGACATGTTTTGCTTCAAAGACTCACACTATTGAAAATGGTTCGAATCGGAGCAGTTTTCCGACACTACTTCCCACATAATGCCTTATTTTGAAAAATTTGTTATATGAACAACTGTGGTTTCCTACAGAGTAGTTATTGGTTGGCCGTGACCCATTATAGTGTTTTAATTGGTTTTTTATTAATTTTAGGCGTTTCAATGCGCTAATCAAAACGGTTTTAATTGAAAAACCTCAACAAAATCCTATCAAATATTTGGAGTATTCCTGGCGAGCCCTGTGTTGCATTTTTTTTTTTTTTTTTTATTTTGAGCAATTCGACTCAGAGGAGCTCAAAGATATAAGGCGCTCGTGCAATTTGAACTAAGAAAGATTAGAGATATTGTCTAATGTCTAATACAGAGCGTGTCCATAC